ATCTTTCTATGGCGTGTATTTCCGCTTGAAAAATGCTAGGGAATTGTCCCATGGATTCGAAGTATTTGGTGCAAGGCCTAAAGACTCCTGCTCCAGTTCTCTCGGGTGTTATAGACCCGTCCGTGTACCAATTAATGGTGTTTCTTCCCAGCGCTTCGATGGATTCTATGCTCCATTCGCGCTTGTTGCTCAGCTCCACTCGGAAGTTCTTCTCAAAACTGAACTTCCTAATGATTTGGTGTGTTGGAAGATCGGCGAGGTGTGCAATCTCAGTGGGGGGTGAGCCCCTTGCACTGTGCGTTTTCCCTCTTAGTCCGACCTTGGCTAACCTGAGATGTGCTCCATAGGCGGTTCTCCTCACCACAATGTGTAGAGGTGTGAGATCCAAAATGACCTCTATCATTGGACAGGGCGTCATTTAGTTAGTTCTTTTTCATTTTGGACTTTTGACATTTGGATTGAACACATAAAGTTGCGTTTTATTTGTTCCATTCTGGTAGCGGTGGTAGGAACAGAATGACGGTTACAAATAAAATGGGAACCTTCATGACCTTGCATGAGAGAATTGATATATTATAGGTGATAAGAGGTTATATTTATTTATTGGGGCTCCAAATAATTTCAAAATCATATAACTAGAGATGAATCTAGAAACGAATCGAATGATATTTGAAGCAGTGATTGTGGAGATTGAAGGAACTTCTCTGAGATCGAGAGATTTCATTTCATCTGGGAATGAACATATGAAACCTGTTCACTTGAAAGGATCATGAACTCCTGAACCTTACGAGAAAAATAGTTTTCTAAATAAAACGACACATTAACGAGATTACCGTGGCGGAATCGGATAAATAAAACGCAACTAAAGTGCTCAAAGAATTTAGTGGACCACTCGAATTTTCGAGATTTTTAAAATGCCATAACTTTTTTTCAAATCAAGCGATTTTCAATCGGAATGCAGTATTCAAAAGATGCGTCCTTTCAGTTAAAGATTCATTGCTCGAAACTTTTCGAAGTTTTGCAGTTATGCCATACCAAGTGGTTGAAAAGAGTGTTGCATGAGCCAAAAAGTTCAGGAGCTCCGCGGTATTCCCCAGGAATTTTTTCATCCTTCTACAAATCAACTTTCTCAAATCCTCATGTCACCTCAAGTCAATATCTCGAAATGGTTTTGCAATTTCGGACCTTCTGATGTGAAATATCGATTCTTTCGATATTCTGTATTTTCATTAATTTCTGTGGATTGAAAAAAGTTCAGGCGATATTCAAACTGTACTCCACTGTAATACGATCGAATTAATTCCTGGTGAAGTTATCTACATGATTTTAAGAGCAGAAGAACTCTCGACAACAACAAAATGAGCGTTTTTTGAATAATGTATGAGATTTTGTGAAATCGCCTGCTCATATTGATGCTGCTACAATAATGTGCTTGTGAAATTATGAATCCTTATTCTGGTTTAACATCATGTGGGCACAAATTCATTAGAGTTTTTGCTATTCAGTGACATGACTCCTTTTAGTCTTCTGTGCAACCGAAATCAAGATGCCACGAGTTGATTCAATATGGATACAAAATTTTATTAGTGGAGACAACTTATTGATTAAACTGTGATGATATCATCAATCGAATTTTCGTCAAGCAACCCAGTGGCGGATCTAGGATTTGCATAAGGGGGGGGCTAAAAAAACGAAATGTAATATATAAAACCCATATAATTCATATATGTATATCGTACATAACGCAAACATTTAAAAACGAAATGAAAAAATGAGCAATGAAGTTAGTTATCAAACCAATTAGAAAGCTCAATCCTTCTGGGTTTCATTTTTGAAAACATAGTTATAACATGGTCAACATTAATACTTCGTGATTTATTGATGTAAGGAAGGGCAAGGCCATTAAGCCTTTCCTCACTCATAGTACTTCTTAAATAGCTCTTTAGTCTTTTTAAAGCTGAAAAGCTTCTTTCTGCAGTGGCTGTTGTAACGGGCAAAACCGAAAAAAGATGCAGTAAAATTCGAATGTTTGGGAAAAATAGTTCATCACATTCTTTTAAAGAATCCACTGCTGTAGAGGGCTTGTCTTGTTTAGATTTCCATGTATGCCTCCATATTTTTAATTCCGCAGCAAGCTGAATATCGGATCCTTGAAGATCTTGTTCGTAAAACAGAGCCGCTTCTATTATTTTCTCATCTTTATATTTTTCCAGATTACTACACGGAAAAAAATGGTTCAAGTAAAATGTTTTCCTGACTTGTTTTGTATCGGGATAAGAAAAATAATACCTATTCCAGAAACAATTTTATTCAGCCTCTAGTAAAATGATAATTCTGAACGCATGAACTTGTAGCTATAATTTCATCCACCTATAGCAAATAGTTTTCATCTTAGATAATTCACTTTGTATAGCCACAGGAAAACATTTTATAAGCTCTGGTGAAGTGTATTTTAGACTTTATTAACTTCGAGTTTCTGAAAAGGAAATAATAACTACAGAAACTCGTGTTACAAGCACAATACAATTGTTTATCTGCGGTACAACCCAATATACCTACGGTAATACAACATGTTCACCTGCCCAGTAATCGGGAATAATCGTCGCCCTCTCGTGTTGTATATCCGAATTGATCAGAATCCATCAGCGTCACTAGCGTGCTAGCGTCAGTTTCGTCGTGACTTCGTGAGAGTATGTTCTGTTTGAGGATTTGGTGCACATGGTAAATCGAAAAATAATTTTTGGTGTTGTATTCATTATATTATGCTGAGGAAGTATGACTCATCACCACGAGAGGTATAGAAGGTGCCATTCAGAATCCCTTTTGGGGGCGGCCGAGAGTTATAGACAACCAATAGTGCTGTTTTACTTTTTATCGATCTGTTATTTACTTAAAAGTTTATCATTGTGTAGAAATGACGTTATTCATAGTGATGAGTTCTTAAATAAAACTGTTCATTTGTGAAATAAAAATGTATTGTAAGAAAATAAGGCATGATACATTACAAATGAATCAAATGATCCTTGTTTGAATGATGCCAAGTGAATTAGGAGTGAAGACAGGAAGAAAGTTCGACTGAGTCTGGTGTATCCCGATAACAAAGATGGGATGAAAGCTATCCAAGGTGAGACATGATGAACTACCCACAAGTGAGTCATAATAGATGAGGCCAAGTGAATCAAGATAATTGTAGTGTAAAATAAGCACCTAGCCAATAATGTCGTTGCATAACTCCAAGTGAAAAGTACACTACCCACAAGTGAGGTATTCTATGAGGCCAAGTGAAACAAGTCACCTATACTTATCGAACTGACCACCTATCCAATGATTTCGTTGTATAACTGCAAGTAAAATGTACACTTAGGCCAATAAAACAAATATTTTGTCCCTACTAAAGCGTTTAATATCAGTAGGTTACATGTGTTCCTGAAATCACATTAATAACAACAAGTGATCAGATTCAGAAATATCATTTTTCTTGTGGCTGATGAGGCGAGTACTTGTCCCATATAGTATGCAAATTTTTACTTGGTAGTATGCAAATTTCACTAGCTGTTATTAAAGTTTTTTTTTCGTGTAGGAATAATCCCTTCTATTGCCATAACAGCACAAGTCCCTTTGTCAAAACGATTTTCAATTTCGACAATAATATGATCAACGAAAGGAATAAATACAGTAATACGAAAATATTCTTCGTCGTTTGAAGCATTAATATTATTTCTTGTTGTCTGACGGTTACATATACGAGGCACAGCAATATTTGTCCCTAGATCTAAAGCTATTTCACAAGACTCTGTGTAAATTTTTTGGAACTCAGAATCAGCTTGCTCTCTTATATTCTTTATAATAGCTTTTATGTGTTGAACATAGGATAAAGCAGTTGAAAGGTCTTGTTTTGGATTTTGCAAAAATTTGCTCAATTTGAGTGTATACGACATACATAAAACTGCTGTTCCTAGTGCAATAATAAAATCACTCCTTCTAATTGCTGCACTTAATGAAGCTGCCTTACTTGATGTGTCAACATCACGGTCACTTTCTAGTTGTTCCAAGGCATTAGAAATTGGCAAAAAAAGTTCCTTGAAAGTTATGAGACTTTCATGCCTCTCAACCCAACGTGTAGTGCAAAGCGCTTTTAATCTGCGTTTTTTAACTTCGGTCAAATTTGCGTTTGATATTGCTTGTTCTAAAACGTTAACTCGCTTGGCTGAAGCTGTTAAGAAAGTGGATACTGCACTAACAATTCCAACCATGTTTCTAATTGCTGTTGTTTCACAGCTTTTTGATATAGATAGATTCAAACAGTGAGCAAAGCAATGAGTGTACAATGCTAACGGCTGTTCATTTTTTATAAGAGCTTGGGTGCCAATAAACTTGCCAGCCATATTACTTCCACCGTCATAACCTTGCCCCCTGAGATTTTCAAGTGATAAACCCATTCGTCTTAATTCTTTAGAAATTGCATCTTTAATGTCCTGTCCAGTGGTTGAAGACATCTCAATAAATCCCAAAAATTCTTCCTTTAATACACAAATTTCGGTATCTACATATCTTATACACAGAGTCATTTGTTCTTTCTTACTTATGTCTGTGGTTTCATCACAGAGAATAGAAAAGAATTTAAATTTTTTTATGTCATTTACGATGGATGTCTGTACAACCTCTCCAATTGAAGCAATGATTTCATTTTGTACGGTTTTACTAATCATTGTGCAATTTTTGCCAGTATTCTCAAAATGTGACTGTAGATCTACGTCTCCAGAGTCTAAGCGAAATAATAATAAATTTCTGAACACACCTTGGTTATTAGGAATAACTGTATTTTGGTACTCTTGAACCACCAACTCTCCATCATCTCTGTGGCCTCTTAGAGGTATATTGTTATGAGCACAAAATATTATACTTTTCACTATTGGTCTCAGTCTTTTTTTATTAGCCTCAATGATATCTAATTTTGCTTGGTCAAGCTGAAGAACAATATTTGCATTTTTGCCAGAATTAACTATAGAAAATCCGGCAGACTTCTGAACCGAAAATTTGTGATATTGACTGCTTTCATGATGATGCAGCATATCCAAAGCTTTTTTGAATTTTGTGAGCGGTTGATTCACCAACGTTTTAAGAGGCTGTAAATAAAAATTGGAATCAATCATCTAATCAGCTTATCAATCCTGGGACTAAATGAAACACTCTGTATATACTTCGTCCAAAAAGTGACAAGTAAAAACGGATTTGAGCCGAGCACGAGCCCTTAATCAAATCGCAATTAATTTTTTCATGAAGAATGTTTTATGTAGCGAAAACATTTATTGCAGAGTTTCCTTTCAACTTATTTATACCATACCTGACATCCAACTCCAGCACCCATTGGTGCAAATAGTACACACATTTTGCAGAAGGCTCCACTTTTGTATTGACTGTAAGATAGCCAGTTAAATCGTTCGAACCAACCGTAGCAAAATTTTCTAACCTGCTTGCCTTCTTGCTGACATGGAAATACATAGTTACGATCAGGTTTCCATGTTTCTTTCAGAAATTTCAGTCTTTCATTATCGTTCAACATTTTTTTATCTACCGCGAGTCCTATATCGTACGATAACAAATCTTGTTCCTGTAAATAATAAATAAATAAATACCTATTCAATTTCTTTCATAGAGGCCTATCCTGCCTTCCGCCTACCTGCGAATTAGATCCAGATGTACTTGGAATAGCATCTGATTCCGTTTCCTTCAATGGCTTCAATCGTTTTGGCTCTCGCTCTTCGTCATCTAGCGGTTTCGGTTTATAGAAGTCAAGTAATGTTCGTTTCATTTTTAGCGGCAAAATAAAATAAACTATACACGCAACGCAGCGATCGTAACGTGACTAGTCGAATATCGGCAGGCTACTTTGCGTCTGCGGAGCGGAGGCTGCGTCATAAAATGGAATAGAGGTGTTGCCGAATTGTGCTGATTTTCTTTAACTTGATGAAGAAAGTACTTGAACGATCTTGAACTGATAGGATAACCCAAAAAGAAGAAAATAGCATTTTTATGAATTCACAATATTCACATGAAAGTGAAAAGAGACTATTCTTTAAAACAACACAATCCAACTCGACCAAAAAAACGACTTTTATACTAGAATATAATTTTGTCAAAACTATTCCTCAACAGTAAATGCCTCCACAGTACTTTTTTCAGGGAGGAAGGAAAATCTCCCTTCCTGTATAAAGTAAGTAAGTAGTGCCTTCTCATGTCTCAATGGGAGGGGCTATAGCCCCTCTAGCCCCCCCCTGGATCCGCCACTGAAGCAACCTAATGAAATATCAAATAAAGGAAGCACACTTATTTGATTAGTTTTAAATGAAACAAGCGAAAATTTCATTTTATCGCCAATCATCATAAAGTATTTTTTTAAATTAAATTATTTCACTTAAAGTTTCTTCGAAATTTTAAATAAGAAATGAATGGTATAGTTTTATATATCTACAAATAAATGCTTGACACACTAGTCTCTTGTTTGAGTTAGGTTTACAAAACATTTTTTCCACCTACTTCTATCCAAAGTATACATTTCCTGGCCTCATTGTTGGGAGCAAAGTCGTACTTTTCCCGGCTAGGGAGAAAAAGTAAAAGTTACGTCATGGTACGTCATCAATGAAATAGCTGATACGGCATTGATGACCTAAACTATATCCTAAATTATACAGAGGGTTATTAACGTTATTCGACACGAAGCATTGTCCATGGCGAAGCATTTGGTTTTATGAGATTTTTTTTGGATGAATATCCTACCTATCAGCGCTACGTTTCAAAAATATTTTCGGTACAGGGTGTGCCAAAAACACGAAATGTATCAAAGTTGCTATTTTTTAAATGGAATATCCTGTATCATTGCAGTTTTAGATTTTTCTTGAAGAGCTGATTTCATCGATTCATCACATTTGGGGTCTAGCGGAAATTACTACACAGATATAGGTTGTTGAAAATGGAGATTTTCCAAATTTAGGATCTTTATTTTGTGTCGAATTCATTCATTATTGGTCAAAACCGCTTACATATACTTTTGATTTACCATCTACTGACATTTAATTGGAACAGATACAGGTTACTTCAAGATTGAGAAATCTAATCATCATGTATCTGTTCCAATTACTCTACCACAAATTAACAAACAATATATGCAGAATGCAAGAATGAAAATGACGTGCCTATAAGTTAATTATATTGTACCTAGTTCTTAGTTTTACTTCCTCAATAAATTTTGTTTGTGAGTTTCATAAATGAATTATTTAAAAATTACTTATTTGAGGAAGGCGGAAATAGTTATTTCCTATATAGTCGTCAAGGGCGAGACAGACATTTTCGCAAGAGTTAGGTACAAAGTTTTTCGTACGAGTGTTATGTCCCTATTATTTATGAAAAAAAAAATTAATAAACATAATTTTTTTATAATGATGATACAAAATGACACATAAGACACAATAGTTACATGGATCATTTATTTAGTCCTAAATATCCATATTTTCAACAATACAAAAATCGTGCGGAAAAGTTAGTGTTAATAGTGTTTGGCCCACTACACCAATGCCTTGATCAGTTTGTTGCTGAGAATTACTAGTGTAGTGAATGTCAGTTTATAGTGACTGTTGCTATGGGTACTTTCTGGTGCCAACCCCAGACAGCACTGGATATTCCTAGAATATTCTCTAAATATGCTAAAAAGGAGGAGTATATTCCGAATATTCATCGATTATTCCTAGAATATATACATGCCTCTGGAACATCTAGAAGGTATATTCCGAAGTGATGTTCAGGGAATATTCAGGTATGAATTTTCCAGGAATATTCCCAAATGAATATTCTCTCTTGTATATTCATGAAATATTCCCAACTGAATGTTCTGTGGGGTATATTCATGAAATATTCTCAACTGAATATTCTATGCGGTATATTCATGAAATATTCTCAACTGAATATTCTGTGGTGTATATTCATGAAATATTCCATGAATATTCCTATGATTCTCAACACATAAATACCCATCATTATTTCAGAGATGTGAGTATCGAACATCAATTAGATGTAAGGGGATTTTGAAACAAAAAGTGTTTATGATCCGATTTCGAACAACGCTCTCATAAGAAATTGATATGTACAACATAATTCAATTCGATTACTGGCCTAGTGGTCAAGGCGTTGGTCTGATAGTCTTGAGGTCACGAGTTCGATCCCTACTTGGGTCACTTTTTTTTATTTCAGAATATGTTTATTGGAATATTACTGGAACATTCAACATAGAATATTCTTTTGGGTATATTCTATGAATATCTGAGGAATTCCCATTCGCATATTTAGAGAATATTCCACAGATATTCCGGAATATTCCAGATTATTTCTAGAATATTCCAATATTCCAAAAGGAATATGATAGGGAGATTCATGGAATATCTGATGCTGTCTGGGACAGTTATCACCACATGTCTCCTGGTATTTCCTTTGAAATCGTGCGGAAAAGTAAAATCGTACGGAAAAGTACAACTTTCAAAACGAAAAATCATGCGGAAAAGTTACTTTCCGCACGCTCTTAGGAAAAATCATATGCATAACACGGGGGTAAAGTACCTTTTCCTCCCTTGAATTATTACTGCCCTCCGACTTCATCCTCGGAAGGAAATGTAGCACATTCTTCCCTTGTAATACAAATAGCTATTTTGCGGACGTAATTATTTATTTAGGTGATTGTGTAATGAATAGACACTCTTCAATGATTGTTTCATTGAAAATAAAAACGAAATTCGTGTGTCAAGCATTTATCTGTAGATACTGAAACATATGATTTGAGAAATAAGGAAATGTTCGAAAATGAATTTTTTAGAGTCCTGAACGAGGAGCTGTCCCCATAGTCTACGCCTGCCTTTCATCACAACTCGAGGGAAAAGGAGGAACCTACATAACGAATTGTGAAGTTTATCCTCCGAGTGAGATAGCGAAGTCGACAGAGTTGCAAAAGAAATTGTTCGATTTCACTAAAGACATTCTCAAAATCGAGGATTTTGGGAAGAAATGAAAATTAGTTATAGCAGGGTGATCTATTTAAGAAACTGAAGAATGAGTTTAAATTGAAAGTGAAAAATGTACCGTCTGGTATATCGATACTTATAATTCGGACAATTCCAGATGAACCTACGACATATTTTAATCAAGAAAACATCTCTGAACACATAAAAACTAGACCGCTTTCTTGTGAACAAAATAATTCATATCGTTTGATGTTATTGAATTTCGAATTATTATATGTAGGTCTACACATTTGATAATATGCATGGCGTGAAAACAGTGGGTAATCATATACGATAATGAAGGTGTCTTTTCATGCATGTTTATACTTGTGTAGATATTTCCATTGTGAGTATTCTCACACAAAAAGGTCAAATAAATGTCGAGTGTGTCAAGATCTTAATGGACGAGTGGACTGATATATAATTTTTGGCATTCAATAACTCCACTGTGTCGTAAGGAACCTAAATTAATTTTTACAACACTTCTCACGTTTTTTTTATGTAAATAATAAGTCTTTGCGTTGTTCAAATTCATTGAATTTCAGAACTCATTTGAAACGTAACGTTATGGCCGCCATTTGGCGATACGTCGAATAAATGGTGATGACAGTTTTCATGCTGTTTCGTTATTGGTCAGATAATCTTCGATTTCCACTCATGAAGCAAGGTTGTCAAGTCACCAATTATAATCAAGTTATCAAAAATATGTTTGAGTCCTGTCGTTGAATAAAACATAATAGAAGGAACTCAACTATAATTAGTTCATTCTCGACTTTTTCGAGCAACCATCCAGCGAGCACAAACATCCCTGGGATGCTTTGAAAATGTTGGCATGAAGATGTTATTTTGAGACGTAATATGCACTGACCAAAGAGGTCTTTGAAGGATATTGAAGTATTGTTTTTGTTCTTTTGTGGCATTTCTTTGTTTGCCTACTGAGAGGTATCCCTGGGATGTTTTGGGATGTTTTATAAATGTAGGCATGAGGATGTTTTTTTGAGGCGTAATATGCACTTCCCAAAGAGGTCTGAGAAGGATATTGAAAGTATTGTTTTTGTTCTTTTGTGCCCTTTCTTTGTTTGCCCCACCACAACGTCTCATGCTTACGTCACAATACGATGAATTCTGATTTGTTTTCGATTTTGTTCTTCTTGTTCGCAATTGGCATTCGCGTTTGCAGCGTGTCACGCTTACATCACGCTGCTAACGAACAGAAAGGAATTTGGTGAAGTTTATTTTGTGTTAGAAGACTTATTCAGTTTGTAATAATGACCATCAGATGCAAGATGTGTTGTTCGGTGCCTCAGTGTAATCAATATATAAAAGTACGAATTCATCAATACACAGCTTCTCCGCAGTTGCAAAATTATGCATTGTGGAGAACATTTCAAAAATTGGGAAACCTATTTCCAATTATATGTCTGTGTGTAGTAAGCACTACTCAGAAACCGATTAAGAAGGTAATTTCATATCAAGAAAATATTTTTATGTTCAATCTATTTTTTATGCATTTTTTCATTCAAGGGAAACATGGAATCCTAATGCAAAAGTTCATTTTGACAAAAAGCTTCAGAAAAGTACCTCGAAAATGTTTTTTTTTTTACAGCGATTTAATGTGCGCAAGACGCGTTGAAAATGTTCTGTTGGGTCCACGAAAAGGCTTTAAAAAGAACTAGGGAGAAGGTAGTTTTGTGACATATAAAGGACATCTCGATAATTCCCGCCAGCGGCGGACATTGGCTGTTCTATAATAGTTCTA